CACTGCCAAGTATACACATAGTATACAGCAAAATCTCTTGATACTGTATAATGTATGAATGAAGGTTTCCCCCCCAAAAAAACAAGTATGCCCCATGACCTTCTTGAGCTACTCATTCTCTCAATAGGTTTCTCTATTTTCCATTATAGACCAATGCAATGCCCTCCATGGTTAGATCCACACTTAACTTACAATATCCACTTTGGCAAAGGAGATTGTGCTGTTCAGAAGCTAGAAGCCAATCTTCATGCATGTCTACTTAGGAGCAAGTCTTAAATCAACAGGACCTAAATTCCGTGCTCAGAAATGCCATGTCTCTATAAATATGCTTAATATTGCACCATTGGTTCTGAAGGAAATTCCATACAGCTCAAATTAATTTGGAAGAGCCAGGACTTGTATAGGATGATAGGGGATATGGCCTTTACCTGGTGGTATAAGGAGAGAAAAGGAGCCAAGGGGAAAGAGGTCCCCTCACAAACCTTAATTTTAAATCCTAGCAAGGCCCACTTTTGCCTTCTGTCCCTTTAACGAGCATCTTCCCACAATGATGACAGCTCAACGTGCTCTTCTAAAAATAAAAGCATGAATTGGATTGCAACACAAATAGTCAAGCCTACGGACCAAAATACCATAGCACTCTACTTACTCTACCTTACTCAGCATCAAGTCACTGTATTAGATGTTTCAGAGATGCCACAAGTTTTGTTACAGAGCAACTCTCTCCAAATTGTCCATTTCCACTTTCCTACACAAGCTGGGTGTGAAGCTGCACCTCCTGACTGTGCCTACTAACAGCCACCAGTGCTCTCAGCCTCAATTTGCCGTATCCTTTCATGAACCCTGTTAGACTGAGGGATTACACAACAGACCATTTTAACTTCATTAACCTGATTATATGTTGGAAAAAGCATCCGTCTGCATGCATGCGGCTTTCTTGATTTCCTGCTCATGCAATAATGCTTTGGCTATTGAAGAGCCACCGAGGCTGCAATCCACCAGACTCCACTCCCACACAAGTCCTATTGAAACAATTCAGGGTTGTTCAGGAGCAGTACATGGGGAAGCACAGCTTTGGCATGCACGGCTGAAATGAGTAACTGCTAGGCGAGCAGACGTGTTAACCACCCTTCAGTTATAATGGGACAAAATGACATCCGTGTAGAAAACTGAAAATTCAACCCCAACCCCCGTTCACAACAAATAAGCATGAAATAGTGAATGCCCAGAATAAGGACGCGACAAGAGTATATTTCATAGGGGCTGAAAACGTGCAGAGGTGTCACCCAACAAAGCAAAGGCTGCATTCACATACAAGGTTAAACCATTAAGGATGGTTAGCTAAACCATACTGTGCATGAGCTGCCTGGCTTAAAGCTGTGTCTGAACCTGCAGTCATGGGTCAAACAGTCCAGGATTGCAGGTGCAGAGATAAAGCTGAACCAGATGCTCCATGGTTTGTTTCCCTGCTGCTGGAAGGGAGATGCAAAGCAGGAGTGCTCAGGTTGCATGCAATTTGTGAGCAGCTGGGTTTCACAAAAACAGCCATCATATCTTAGCATTACATGTGAATGCAGTCGTAGGCCAGGCCTGGAATCTAGCTGTACATGCAGCACCCAGAGAATATCAGTATTCATTTTGTAAATGGAAACTAATTTTCTTATAACCATTGCTGCTTAGGCTAAGCAGAGAACCCCATAATCTACAGGCACTGTAAGAACTATGATGTGACGTTTGACAGTTCAGGTATCTCCAATGGAGAACATTGCCAAATGATTATTCTGAGATCCTCAAGACACCGTCAGTTACCTGCTTTAGGCACTTTATTAAAAACATCTCTCCCCCTCCCCCCTGCCCCCGGCCTTTCCTGATTTTTTTTCCTTTTCTTTTCCTTCTTATATCTTTCTCCCCCTCTGATGTGTTTACATTTTTATCCTGCTTTTAGTATCTGTGGGTCATATTCTCATGTTATGTTTTAGGGCACAGCTCCATGCTTTAAAGCACCATGTTGAACACTGCTTAGACTTTTTTTTTTAAGTATGAAAGCAGTCCAAAAAAAAATCAGAACAAATAAACAAACAATGCTCGGGGTAAATGCCACAGCAAAAATAACTTACAAGTAGGGGGCCACAAAATTATACCTCCATCGCATGGAAACCAGCAGATTTTTCACCAGCCTGCTTCATTCTCCACCTTATTCATGCCCTGCTAATTACCATGTTAGCTTGGTAGAAGCACAGCATAGCATACGTCATATGAAGAATACAGCACACAATTCTGCATGGCACTACTAAGGGAAGAGTGCAGGCCAAACAAAACGTGGTAGGGGCAGCCACACTGACTCGTGCAAATGGTGCAGTCATGTGAATCTAAAATGGTAGGTTCTATTTTTTTACAACAAAAGGTGCACATTGACAAGCAGAACTAAATTTTTGTCCCCTGCTGTAACTCCCTGTATTCCATCAAATCATGATTCTCCCTACCCACAAATCCAGTGCAATTCTGGTATTAGAAGCAGGCTGGTGAAAAATAAATTTAGTTTTATGCCTGTCCAGCCCACAGGGTTTGTTTGTTTTTTATGAAGTTCCTGTGATAATGAATGCTTCAGTGCTGGGAATCCTGACACTCAGTATATATACTCAATATATACCCCCTGTTGTCCTACTGCTGATGCAAACACAGAAAAACAACAGCTTCTTCATGGCAAATAATCTCAATGGTGTCAAATACTACATCTACCCTACTAAGTAAGGAAAGTTGTGAAGTAATCACTACTCCAGCTCTAGTAAAGTGAAATTCCTCTTCCTGGAACAAAAACACTCCCTGTACATTATTTTATATGCTTTGAGGCTTGTTGGAGATTCAGAAAACATAGGCGAAGGCCTCAACAGTTAGAAACAGTTCTTCTAAATTCAGCCCTCCTTACCTATTAATACACTTTTATATTAACCACACACAGGCTTGTATGTCGAAGTGCTCTTCAATTTAGAACTGTTTGAGTCCTTCCCACCCCGCGAATAAAGTCAACACCAGGAAGTAACAGAAATGCCATCAAGAAAACAGAAAGCACACTGAAAACTCATCACCAATTATGCCCATGAACTCTGCTCAAGATTTTACTCCAGAACATTCTATGACCACAGAGCTCTGGAAGTGGGAGGGGGACAAACCAAGGAGTAACCTTCCTTGTATTCATGGGACTGACTTTTGAATAAGCGTGCAAAAAGATGGGCTCTTAGATTTTCAGCCTTCTTTATCTCTGCCTCTTCTGTCTTTTTAGCAGTTCTCTCACCTCACACCTTGCTTCCTTTTACTCATAGTTCCTTCCCTCCTTCCATCAGCAGCTTCCACTTACCCCTATTTGCTATGTTTTACATTCCCTGTCCTTGGACACCCACCCCATACCTGAAAAGGGACAGTGCATATTCCTGCATTGCAGGGGGTCCTGCTGCTGCCTCTCTACCAGGCCCAGGACAGGCCTGATAGACTACAAAAGGACTGCTGCTGCCCAGCAGATACTACTGTTTACATTCTTTTAAACTGCTTTTCAACTGTGTCTTGTTTTTAATTGTTTTTTAATTGTTTTAAACTGTTTTTATGTGTTTTGGGGTGGTTATTCAGCTGTTTTTGTTCATATTTTGATTTTGTATTTTGGGTTTTTATATTGTAATTTTATCTTGTGAACCACCCTGAGACCTGCAGGTATAGGGTGGGGTGTGTGTGTGTGTGTGTGTGTGTGTGTGTAAGTAAAACTAATGACCCTCAGGATCCCTTCCAAAGTCTGTCCACTTCCTGCCCTTTTAAATCTGGGGTCTTCCTTGGATTATTATTATTATTATTATCTGTTATCACAACCCAGGACAAAATTCCTGCGACTTTTTGGCAAACAAGCCGGCAAAATTATTTTTAGGCAAATCTGCATGTTGTTTGACACATCATGCAACTAAAATGGCATCTATGCAGAAATTGTGCATATGGTATTCTGACATTATATATGGCTAATTCTGAGGGCATTGCTTAGCTTTAATAACTTCATGTCTCTACAAAATGGGTTCTAAATTAACTTCAATACACACAAACACAAACATTTTAAAGAAGTGAATGATTACGCACCACTTGGGTAACTTTGGACAAGTTGGTTTAAGTATATTCAACAGACAGCAATAGAATGAATTTATTTCAGTAAAATGCAACCACCAAAATCAAATTACAAGTGAACCTTCCAACTAAAGCAGTCCACGAGGCTTCAGAAATATTATCTTTATTGAAAAGAACTGTGCAGGTCTTTTTTTTTGGGGGGGGGGGAGATTGCAAGAACTTGTTGACAACTCACTACTGCATAATGCATACCACATGAGGCATACAAAGCAGGTTTCTACATTACCCTATAGAGGTAGGTAGTTTAGTGTTATGTGGTCATACTACTACTACACAGAAGTAACACAAAGCAAAAGTACATCAAGGGGCACCTATAATTTCTTTGGGAAATGTTTCAGCAAATATGGCTAGATCTAGAACTGCAGGTACATATGCACTCTCCAAAACAATATTTAGGCTGCAATCCTAACAAACTTACCAAGGAGTAAGCTCCACGGAACACAGTGGGACTCATTTCAGAGGTAACATGCATAGGATCAGGCTCAAAACCAAGGTTAGTTTCCCTAGAGCAAAATCATCCTTGCTTAGAAAAGCCTTCAGTGAGAATGAAGGATGGAAAGTTACATAAAAGGCAGCATGGCACAACCTGCAGAAGCTGAGGCATTACATAGCCAGCTCGCTCTGCTGGATTTAAAGAGCCAGCTACCACAACAGCATGTTGGGAAATTTTTCTATTAAAAGGCACAAGCCTACAGATTATCAAGGACTGAGAGGAAGTGAGATCGCAGAGAAAAGGAAACTGAATCCCCAGAAGTTGCAAGCAAAATGCAGCCTATTGTGCCTGATGGGCTTACAAAGGATCACAAAAGCCTTTTTTTTTTTTTACTCCCTGCAATTGGTACCTGTTAGCAGTGCCCGTGCTGCTCCCTCCGCTGCTATGCTTTCTTGCCCGGCTCAGCCTCTGCGGTGGCTTTGGGTCCTGCAGTCCGAGGCTCGGCATGGAGGGGAAGGTCGAGGCATACCCATGCTCACACTCTGCAGAAATCACCAGCAAACGGGAAAGAGAAGGGTCAGTCAAGAGGGTACAAAACAGTAGGTTCCAAGGACACATGGACTTAGGCAGGAAGCTTCAGCGAGCCCAGAGAGAAGTCCTCAGGGAGTGGCTTCAAACCACCAAGAACTCTGACGGGACACAGGGGCTACAGACAACAAGCCACCTGTCCGAGGGAGAGCCCATACATAGCAGGCAAATGCTTGGGATGGCATGCCAGCAGTGCCTAGTCTCTGCCATTTGAGGGGGGGGGCATCTCTCCACCTTGTTTATCTACAGCATGTGAGCCTGCTCGTCCTCCCCCTTTCCCCCAAGCCCTCCCCCAAAAACCCCATTCATTAAAAAGGAGAGAGAGAACTATTCCCCCTTATGGGGGACGTGTCACTCCAATCCCCACCCCCTTCCTCAATCCAGTTACCTCTCTCTCTGCGCTCCAGGTATTCAGCTGCCTCCAGAAGGCGCTGGATGTTAATCATCTCCACCCGTTCCATAGCCCCTGGGCTGGATGAGGCCGCTTGCCAGCCCCTGGGCACTCTTAGATCTTCTCCTGGAGAGTTGAGAGGAAGGACTCCCCGCTCTCCCCTTTTACAGCAAGGGTGGCAACAACTCCGCTTCCTCTTACCGGGAGGGGACGGGCACAGGGCAGCAGGCGAGGCGGTACTAAGGGGCTGGGGGGTCCCTTCTGATGCCTCCGGGAAGTTTGATCAGCGAGACCAAGAAATGGAGAGGATCTAACAACTCCTGCCGTAGTTGCCCCTGGACCCTGCCCACATCCTGCTACCTCGAGAGCCTGGCGCTCAGTCTCCTACCCCCCTTCTTCATCCCCTGGTCAAGGAGCACCGATCCTGTCCTGATCCTTGGCTCTCGGGTGCTCTTCCCCCTTCTCCGCCGATCTTGCCCCGCGCCTTCCCCTCCCTACACGCCGAATGCCACCATCGATCCCTCCTCCGACCTCTCCGTCAGCCTTGCCCCGCTAGTCTTGCATCCTTGCTCGCCGCCGCTGCCCGCTCCTTCCCTTGACCCTACACCTTCCCTCTCCACCTCGGGGCTGCCCCTGCATCCATGGTCCAAGCCCTGTTCCCTGGGATCTGGCGGCCGTTTTCTCTCCGCCTCCTGCAGCAGATCCTGTAGGTCCCTGCCTCTTTCACAGTTTGTTTACCTCTGGTTAGAAATCATGGGAGGCGGGGGGAGGAGACACTCACACACGCGCACGCACTCACACACACACGAGAAGACTCCGCCGCGGGGCCGCTTGGGAAATGTAGTTTCCCTGCCTGCGCTCCCCCTTCAAGGGCGGGGAGCGTGCACAGGAGCAGCAATAGCAATAGCATTGTGGGAGCCTCTTGCCTTCCGCGTTGCGCGCACCCTTTCGTGGCTGGACGAAAGCGGCTGCAGCAGCAAGGCGATCATCGCCGAGGCAGGCGGGCTTCATTCGCCCACTCTCCTTCCCGTTTCTTGGGGGGTGGGGGTGGGAATGGGGGAAGCGTTTCTTGGAGGCGGCTGGGAATGGGGGAAGCCCCTTCCCCGTTTATTCCCCACTTAACAAAATCCGAGATCTAGGCTCATTGAGACCTTTTGAGTGATGCAGGCGAGTTTCTTTCCGCCAAGACGCTCGTTGAGGGAAATCGCTTGCATTTTAAAGTGTCACTCGCACTTTGTGCAAATTAAGCCACTAACTTGCACAGAACAGCTTAGGAGCCAGAGCCTATCTGGATCTACTCGGAAGTAAGCGCCACTGATTTCAGTGGGACTTGCTCCCAAGTTGGTGTGCACGGAATTGTGGCACAAATGTGTGTGTATGGGGAGGGGGTGACATTACAAGACTGCATATGTTCTGCATTGCTTTTATTTTTATTTTTTAAAAAGCATTTTCATGCCTTCCGTCAAAACTACAAAATTCTGCTCTTGCAACTCTTCGAGCAGACGCCGGAAGTCAGTTTCGCTGAGATCAGTGGGACTTATTTCGAAGTAAACACATTTTTGATTGGACGAAAATCCTTCACCTCATGTTCCCTATGTGGCAGAGCTGTCCGGTAAAAACGCGGTAGTAGGAGGGTTAGTCTGGATGGGGACCCTGCTGTTAATCCACCCGAGGTGGTGTAAAAAGCGCAAGGTCAAACGTATTCAGAATCAGCACTGCCAAATCTCAGCTTCTGGAGTCTTATCAGGACAGGAATATCTCAGCCTAGAACTGCCCACTCTGTTTGCATGAAAGGCTCCCACTTAGGAGGGCTGATTTGTCTCCATGCAAGTCTGATAGGTGGTTTGTTGCTGCTGGCCAGCGTCATCTGAAGCGTTATCAAGTATTTTAATTTTTGACTGGTGATCAAAGATCCCTGGTTATTTCATTGGTGGGGGCAGAGGAATGGTTGATGGAAAGCAAGCATGCACCCTTCTCACAAGTGGTCCTTTCATTCATCCACCCCCTACCACTTTGCCAGACCCCTGTAATTATTTCAAGGAGATGCACTTTTCATATTCAGATTATTCCCAAATAATCAACTGAAAATTAAAAGAAGGCTGAAACCCTAAGCAGGCTTACTACTTGAAAGCTAATTCCATCAAAATCAATTGGACTAACAGCACAAGCCTAACCAATGGCTACTTATACATAAGCCCTATTGAATTCAATGGAATTTACTTCCAGGTAAACAGGATTAGAATTGCAGCCTTACTTAAGAGAAAATAGGTTTAGGAGGAGAGTGTTAACGTGAAAAATACTGTCATTTCTCTTCAATATACAGTGGTACCTCGAGTTAAGTACTTAATTCGTTCCGGAGGTCCGTTCTTAACCTGAAACTGTTCTTAACCTGAAGCAACACTTTAGGTAATGGGGCCTCCTGCTGCTGCCATGCTGCCGGAGCACAATTTCTGTTCTCATCCTGAAGCAAAGTTCTTAACCAAGGTACTATTTCTGGGTTAGCAGAGTCTGTAACCTGAAGCGTATGTAACCCGAGGTACCACTGTAATGTAAGGAGAAAGCTCACTCTCACCCTCAAGTTTTATTCTTCAGTGTGGCAGCATGTACACTTTGGAATTCCCTGCTCATTGATATTAGGCAAGAGCTTTTGCTGTACTGTTTGTTTGTTTTGTTTGTTTGTTTGTTTGTTTAACAAGCTACCCAGGCATATATTTTAATATGTTTGCAATTCATATTTTTAAGTGCTGGTTTTATTTCTGTTTTTAATTTTTTCAGCTTAACCTTTTTTAACATCTGATTTTATTGGTAATTTTAATGTAGATGTTTTAGGTAAGCTGCTTACAGGTTTGGATCATTAAGTATCTAAATCCTGTTATAGAAATAAATTTCAGAAGTCCACTTTTCTGTTTCTATGCCCCCCCATCCTTTTTATTGGTGCTGCCATTGTTGCCACTCTAGAAATGCAGTAATAGGCCAGATTGAACTAACCTGTTCTGCAGGTTGATTAAAATTCGGCTAATCAAACATCAGCAAATAAAAACAAAGAAAAGAAAAACATTAGAAGTTATAAACTGAGCCACCTAGGCTAACAAAAAATGCAGCATAAACTGTCACACAAAAGCAAGAGTAACATCATACTTTTATTAGGAACAAATTAAAAGCCATAAAGAAATTAGCCAGCTTTTCAGGTGATCTGAACTCTTCAGCAAACTGGATGGTAAACACACACACACACACACACACACACACACACAGAGAGAGAGAGAGAGAAGGGGGCACACAGAACTGCTGAGCACATGATGGAAAGACAATGTCTGCAATTTGTAATAGTCAGTGCTTTTTTTCTAAAAAAATGTTTAGGGGTACTCTCATTTTCCTACTCATATTGAAATACTGCCCCTCAGTGAGGCCAAACTTAGATTCACAAAATGTTTAGGGGTATGTGTACCCCTGCGTCCCCCCCCCCCGAAAAAAAGCACTGGTAATAGTTGAAGACAGAATGATGGGGAGGACATGCTGTGCAGAAGTACAGGACAATCCTATGCATGTTTCCTTATTCAGAAGTAAGACTTCCTGTGTTTGATGCGTCTTACTCCCAGGTAAGGGACGCGGGTGGCGCTGTGGGTAAAACCTCAGCGCCTAGGACTTGCCAATTGTCAGGTCAGCGGTTCGAATCCCCGCGGCGGGGTGCGCTCCCGTTGCTCAGTCCCAGCGCCTGCCAACCTAGCAGTTTGAAAGCACCCCCGGGTGCAAGTAGATAAATAGGGACCGCTTACTAGCGGGAAGGTAAACGGCGTTTCCGTGTGCTGCGCTGGCTCGCCAGATGCAGCTTGTCACGCTGGCCACGTGACCCGGAAGTGTCTTCGGACAGCGCTGGCCCCCGGCCTCTTAAGTGAGATGGGCGCACAACCCTAGAGTCGGACACGACTGGCCCGTACGGGCAGGGGTACCTTTACCTTTTACTCCCAGGTGAGTGTGCATAGGATTGCAGCCTTAATTAAGTTAGACCAGGCTTCATGTAAAGGATCTCAGGTTGTCCCAAAAACTGTAGGGACAGAGAAGCACAGCTGTTCTCTCTGCAAAAATATAAACGCTAGCAGTTCTTCAGGCATGCCTCTAGCCCTAATTGCAAGACAGAAGGAAGAAGCAAAGGAATATAGTATGCAGTAATCCTTGCGTTAGCAAAGCTGGAGATTATTTTATTTTATTTTTTAAGTGGGGAAATGTGCTTTGAATGTTCTTTAAAAGTATAGTGGGTACGCAGTAAAGGAAGAATCACAAGTGGATCGTGCAATTCTAGGATCCTGGGCAAGTGAATTAGTTATTTATTTAGTATTTCATAAAAAGCTCCTAACATACCTGCAGGAATGTGGCTTGGGCAAACTCAAAACAACCCAGGACTGTGCCCTGCATCGAGCAGGAGCATGGACAAGATCCCCTACAAGGGTGGGAAGCCTTGAGCCCAGGAGCTATATAAGGCTCTCCAAGCCTACACTCCAGTCCTGCGCTTTTGCCTGGCCGGAATGTGTCCATCTCGTGTGCCTGGATAAAAGATTAATACCTTTGAAGCACATTCAGAGCACATTCTTTCCCTCAAAGAATTCTGGGCACTGTAGTTTGAGGGTTGCTAGGAATTCTAACTCTGCAAGGGGTAAACAACAGTGCCCAGAATTTTTTTGAAGATAACAATGTGCTTTGAATGTGCTTTAAAGGTGCACAGTGTGTACACAGTGTATTGTGCATAGACACGTGGATGGGTGACTCCCTGGAAACCACACGTAAGCTGCCTTGGGGTTCATGACAGAAGAAAGGCGGGGTATAAATGTCATAAATCTTCATTGCAGGAAAGTACCCAGCTGAACAAAGGTAAGAGTCCATAGCTCTGCTGGCTTTTGCTGGCCCTGCCCAGCACTGGCATGCAGCTCCTGGAGCGTTGTCCATGAAGGCATGTAGCCCTTGAGCTGAGAAATATTTATTTATTCAATGCATTTATATGCCACCTTCTATTCAAAACATTCGAGGCAACCCACAACAATATAAAATGCAAAGCCATTCAGATCATTATACTTCAAAAATAAATATGACACCACCCAAAGAACCAAACTAAAATACAGCAAACTCATACTAATGAGCCTCAAAGGCCTAGGAGAACAAGTGAGTTTTCAACAAGAGCCGAAAGCACATCACTGTTGGTGCATGCCTTACTGCCCGCTCCAGACAAACAGTCTTCTAAAAGTCTATAATTTCAGCAGGAGTTGGGGGCATCAAGGGAGAAGAAAACTATGGCTAAAAATGTAAAACACCCCCAAATAATCCTGGGTACTGTAGTTTAAGGGTACTGGGAGTTGTAGCACTTCAGGGAGGGAACTACAGTTCCCAAGATTCTTGTCAGGGGATCCTTTAAATGTTTGGTGTGTACACAGCCTATATCTTTGATTAGGATTTTCAAATGTTGGTCTGCATTCCTTAGCCCAGAAAATATGAAGAGTTCTAGTGATGAAGCTAAGAGGGTTTGGTCCTGAGCAGTGCTTAGAAGGGAGACCACTTGGGAATCACCACCGCTGTCGCCTTGTGCAGATAGCATTTTATTTGTGTGTAGGGGCCAAATGTAATTGTGCCATCTGGTCCTGCCCCTTGGCATGCCAGATCACCATGCACTGAGCACATAGACTGGCATGAACCTGTGCCCTATTTCCCGTGTACAGATCATGTTGTAGGAGCCGAAGTGCTTT